GAATAACCCTAGCAAAGGCATTGAAATAAATTGATGATATGGAATTATCTAACGGATTAAAGTAAATTAAACAAGAAAACATTTAACGTATGTAAAAACATTTATATTCTCCAATTTGTCTTGCAGTTAATCCATGAGAGAGGAATCTAGGGTTCAAGATAAAGTGAGGATGATGGAATGAACTCTTAAAAATGTTTCCATAACATGTTGGCTAACTTGATTATGATTGATGGAAAAATCTTATAAGTAACATTGAACCTTTGAAAGAAAAACCAGACCAGCCGATAAGAAGCATCTTTTTGTCAAACTGTTAAAGCAGCCATGTAAAAGGAAAATAAACAAGCAAGTAAATATTCACACAGCACCAAGTAAACAAGTAAGGCATATTACATTAAATTTATATGATGCGGCTTGTTCGCATCATGTACTATATACCATTAGAAAAACTTAATGGTGAGATAAAATTTTGTTACATTTTTAGAAGTAAAGGAGAACTTTTAATGAAAAATAATTCGGAAAAAAGTTTAGATATTTTTGTAGAATTCATGAGATATTTTAACATTTTAGCCGTAAAAGAATAAATACATCGTTTTTAAATTTTTTAGTTTTATTTTTTATCTAATAAATTTATTTAAATATTCTCTTCATGTCTATTTAAGATTAATAATATATATATATATATATAAAATAATGTAAATTATTTAATATTTACAAAATATATATTTTTATTACTTTTTACAAAAAAAAAAAAATTGTTTAATTTTCTATTAAGTACTTTATTCAAACACCTAATTATTTTTTTAATAAAATTTTTATCTACTTTCAATAACTGAAAATTCTAATTAGATTTTTTAAACAATTGAAGATGTTTCTTACTACAGCCTTTAATACTGTAATTCTTTTGAAGTTAGGATAAATGAATCACTAAAACTATTATAAAAAGAATAAGAAATAAACTACAGTTTTTTTTTTTTTCAACATGCAATATATGTTGATCTTATGTATTTGGTCATTTCCATTAAAAAATATAAGAATATTTTTACTTTGAATGATTATATAGGTTTGATATTGTCACTCTAATATTGATATTCTGATAGTATAATTTTGTTTCTTGCTTGATGCAAA